CATGAACTCTTTTAGTGGGGTAGATGACCACACTGTAGAGTAGATTGTAGTTGCCACAAACATATCAGAACATTTCATGCTCATGCCCTTCCTCTCTTTTACCTCCCTAGCAATAAATATGGGCTTCATTACTCCAGTGTGTATTGCTAACATTTTTACTCTCCTAAACACAGGAATTCTAGGAATACAACCTCAGTAAATATGTAATTTCCCATCAAATAACAAAAGAAAAACAAGGGAGAGAGAGGGGAAAATGGAATAAAGACATTGAAAGTTCTCAGAAAAACTTGACTTTAATGATTTGTGTTCATTGCAATAGGCTGGGGAAAAAGCTGTGGAAACAAATGGACTGGCTTTACACTGTTACAAAGTAGGAGCAATGTGGGTGATGACAAGTTTGCAGAAGAAAGCTCACAGTGGTCACTGAATTTATCATTATCTACCAAGATGTAATAGATCAACCAGTCTTTTTCATATCGACTCTGATAAGAGTTGTGGCATTTTTTTCATTTTCAGTTCTCAGGTACAATAAGAGACGTGCTTACCACATATATTAGGTCATTATTCTGTTTATTTTATAACTGGTAAACAACAGAAATGGCAGAACAATTTGCTCAGATCCATTTCTCTTGATTTGCATACCTTGACTAATGCATTGGTTTGGATCCACCTTTTTTTAATCACCTAGTGTTCTCAAGTTGAATGTTACTATCAGGTCTCCAAACTTTCATAAATTCCACGTTGGAAATACACAATTTGCTACTCATTATTTCTTTTCCTTATTCCACCGTTAAAGATGTAATTCTGCAATAAAACATCAAAACTCAGCCAAAAATTACTCATTGAAATGAACGACATGATAGTACACAATGCAACAAATAATAGACTTTATCCTGGACAGAAAATCTGATGATCTTTTTGCAAGCCATTTTTGAGATAAAAGAGAAACAAAATATGAAAACGTGATTTTAACCAATAGCCATACTTATATAAATATCAATTTTGTATCTGAATTTGCTGAGAGGTATCAGAGAAGACTTATTTCCTTGCCTCATATAAATTCTGATGAGTTTGTTCTGATGGAAAATTGCTACCTTAATATCATAAGCAAAGGCTGATTCTTTATTTTCCAGCTGTCATGGAAAGTTTTACAAAGTGCTTAAAAATTTATAAAGTATACTTAAAAATTCCAGCAGATTTTGGAAAGCATTAGATATTCAGAGAGAACATCTGATTTAGAATTTATAAATGAGACAGACTATGACTATGAAGCTGCTTGACATTTCTTAGTCACCCCGACTTCTCTCTGAGGGAGGTGCAAGTTATCATGACTCTGTCATGGGTCTGAGAATCTTTCCTAAAGTTTAAAACCTCACTCTTCCCCAGACATATCAGGATTTAAAGTTGTGAACCTGAACCTTCTTTCTGATATGACACCGTGTAGCATAAAAATATTGTCTCTACTTTCTTTTTTTTTGGTATTGTTCATTGTCAGCTTTTAAGGAAGAGTCAATGAATCAGCTCAGAAAACATGACTTTCCTAAAGTTGTCACATTATCTTTTTGGCCACCTGGACTAAAATTCAGCCAGAACAGACAACATTTGAGTTTCTCATTTTAAGGGTAATGCCATTGCTACTTCAAAGTAATGTAAGACTGTTTCTGAATTTTGGGAGGAGATGACAAAGAAGAGTAAATTCATCATAGTTAAAACTCTAAAGACAGCATTACTCTGACCTTGACTACACATTTCATTAAACATGAAATATTTTCAGTTCACATGACTTTCAATATCAAAGCTGCAGTTGAATATTGTTCTTCCTCCTTTCTTTTCCCTGGGGGAAAAAAAACAAGATACAGTTGTTATTTCTTACGAATTCTGACTTTAGGGAATCAGTTTTTACATGGAAGTAGATTAAAAGTAAACATTTAGTTTCATTATTATCAGCATATAGGGTGAAGGAAAATTACTTAAACCTCTTCAAGTTCTTACTTTGGAAAGTTGTAGCTTTGCCATAAGAAATATGCGACTATGATTGTTTGATTACACGTGTTACGTGGTGTTACTCCTGCTTTAGTTTGGCTGAAAATACTTCAGCAGTATTTGTATTGATTTCCCCACTGTACAGCAAGGGAGAATACCTCTATAATTATGTTATTTCTTAGTTGGATTTGGGGTTTGGGGAAGGGGTTAATTTCTTCTAAATTCAAATTAATGCAGAATTATAATTCCTAGATGAATAAAATGTTATATTTAAATAAGTCATATAAGAGTCCAAACCGACATCTGTTGTGGTGTATAAAACTGAAATTAAAGAATGTAAAAAAAAAGTATTTTTATCTATTTTGATGGTTTTTAAATAAGTCTTCATTCAAATGAATTAATCAAAACTACATAGAATGAACAGCAGTCTGCGAACCCTCCTTATTTTCCAAGAAACAGAGTCTTTCATATTTTCTGTATTTTGTTACGAGGACTAAAACTGAGCATGCAAGGAACATAATTTTCATGTTGATTCCTTATGAATTACATATATATATATATATATATAACTTAATGCTGACCTAAGAAAATTTGAGTGCTTTTCAACTGAAGTCATACATTTTTTTTAAAAAAAGTAGATTTACAGTTGGTAGTAAAAAGTATATGGTCATAAAATGATGTATTGATTCAATACTGCTGGCAATGCACACACAATTTACTGGAAAAGAAATATTCAAAACACTGATGAGGTATGTAATGAAAAATGAAGGAAATATTGGAGCATGGTATTTAGCAAAATCAGACAGAATATTCATTAAAATAATTGCCTAAAAACATAGGGTGTCATTAAAATGCTGCAGTATCAGCTTTCCAAATGGGCTTGGGTATAACTATTGACTGTCTTAATAATTGGCTTCTTCAATTTTGATGCATGGACATGAAAAAGATAAACATAACTAGCTAATTGTTAAGAGACAGGAAACTGGAGTGGGGCATCTGTTTGTTTGCTTCTTGCATTTTCAAACACTGTTGCTAGTATCTGTGAAAAAGCAGGGCTGAGCTACTACATCTTTTACCAGTCAAAACCACAAGAAAACACATGGGTATGTGAAAGCAATTGGAAATTTTCATTTTGCACCATGAAAATTAAGAAGAAGGAAGTAAAAGATGTAGGCTTAAGAGTACCTCCTTGGCAAGATTCATCAGTGATTCTGTACTTAGCTTTGATTTGAGTACACATGACTAGCTTTCATTTTTAGGACACTAGAGGAGGCTCAGGAGTCAGGATTGTTTCTTTTTTTTAACAGACTGAACAAATTAATAAAATAACAACTGGAGGGTGTGCTGGAAGAATGTACCTATTGTTCCTTGATGCAACTTTAGGGCCTTCAGCTGAACTACATCAAGATTAATTCTGATCTTAGAGGACTATGCTCAAATATGTGAATAAATATTCTGCAATAATTTTCATTTCCATGAAAAATATACGCCTTGGCTTTTTCTCTTTCTGCTGCAAAAGGCCTAGGAAGGTGTTTGACATTGTCTTAGTTTTTTACTGTGTTATTTTGTTTGTTTGGTTTTGGTTTTGTTTCTGTTTCTGTTTTATTGCAATGTTGCAGGTGGTTTTTTTCGTTTTTAGTTTAACACTTTCATCTATGGCTCTGTGTTTTAGATTTTTTTTATCACCCTGCTCTCTTGTTATGCCTGCTGCTTGTAAATTTTTTTTGTAAAACATCGTTTAAGACTAGATAGATATATTGTCTCCACAGGGTATTTGAACAAATATATTCTATACAGACACTAGCTTCTAGATGGTCAGCATTCTGGAAGAGTTTAGCAGACCTTAATGTCATAAAGGTTTCATGCTATCTAGGTATCTAGGAGTTAAAGAGATGCATTCTGCTCAAGAGAATTATGATATATAATAATATATCTATAATATATCTATATGTAAAATATAGATAAATTTTACAACAGAATTAAAGTAAATCTACACCCTACAGCACAATTACCACCATGACTGTTTTCCTTAGAATATAAAGTTTGTCTTAAGCATTTCTATATGATCACAGGAAAACATAGGTTGGGAGGGACTTCCAAAGACCATTTAACCCAACTTTTACCCTACCACACTATGATCAGGTTACTCATGATAGTGTCCAGCTGAGTTTAAAATATCTCCAAGAGAAGAAATCCCACAGAGTCTTCAGGCATCTTCTCTACCTGAATGACCACCACTTTTATGATGAAAATGTTTCCCTTGTATCTGGTTAGAATTATCCTGTTTGTGTCCGTTGCTTCTCCTTCTTCCACTGTGCACCTTTAAGAACAACCTGGGTCCATCTTTCTATATTGTTCCAGTGCTAGGTCAATGTTTTCTATCAAAGAGCCCCAAGCTGAATACAATACTTTGATCACATAAGAGTTGAGTGGGGCACAAAATTTACTGCTTGAACTGTTGGCTGCCCTATTTCTAATCTAGTCAAATATGAGGGTGGCCTTCACTGATGTAATGGTACACTGCTGACTCCTCCAGTTCATCTGTTTTTTTGCCTAGAAACCCGGGTCCTGCATTCTGTGAAGCTGCTTTCTAGCCAGATGACACTAAGACTGCAGTCTTGCATGAGCTTAGTCCATCCCAGGTGCAGAAATTTATATTTACCAAAGCTGAACTTCATTCAGTCCTTTTCATCCCTTTTCTCTGGATTGTGTTGTCCCTTGAACAGCACATCCATCTTCCAGCCTTTCTTCAGGCCGCTGTTGTCCAGCAATGTATGGGAAGTGTACTCTGCATAAGCATCCAGTTTGTTAGTGAAGACTTCGTAGGACATGAGGTGAGGCTGACAGGCCTGTATGTTTGTGGATCTTCCTTCTTCCTCATCTTCAAGATGGAGTATTGTTTCTCTTTTTCAAATTATCAGCAGCCTCACAACAACAGCAGCTAAGTCCCCCAGCACCCTTGTCTCCTTGACCTTGTGTTTGTCTGTATGGCTTAAGTACATCTTCCCTTGATCTTACCTCTATTGTTGGTAATACTGTTCTCCCACAGATTTGCTAACAGGCCTGAGGACCTAGAAGGCATGTGGGCAAATCTAACCAGTGAAAAAAATGAGGTAAAATAGTATTTGGTACCTTGACTTTCTCCATAACATTTGTCACTATCTTTCCAACTCCACCAAGAAGTTGTCCCACATTTCTTTCACCTCCCTTTTATGCCAGTGTGCATATAGAAGCCTTCCTGGCTGTCCTTCACATCCCTCACAAGTTCCAATTCCAGCTAGCTGAGCTTTGGCTTTCCTAGCTCCATCTCTGCATGCTTAGGCAACGCTTCTGTATTCCTACCAGCTACTGTATCCCTGCTTCCAGCTTTTGTGTTCTTCCTTTATCTAGTTAGGCTCAACCAGAAGTTACTTTCTGATCCATGTTGGCCTTCTGCCATCCTTGCTATGATAGTCCTTGAAATATCAGCTCTCACATTGGACCAGATTCTTTGCAACTCTTTTAAATTTTAGCTCTTCACAGTCCTTTGATTTCCTTTTTTCATCTTTCATTTTAATTGCAGCTAATTTAATTTGGCTACTGGGGTAGCTACAGAGAAATCAATACTTACACAATTATGAAACAGAAGTAAAACTGGAACAAATCAGCTAGCACCACCTCTTATGATTGCCTGACATTTCTCATGGCTTGTTGCTTAACAAAATAAAATTTGCCAAACCTCCAACCTTTCAACCTTTGGTGAAAGTTTTGGGGATACTTTAGCTATTTCTAAAAATAAGGCTAAGGTTAAAAAAAAGTGTAAAAAAGAAAAAGTAAAAAAAAAAATCACAACAAAAAAACCCCAACCTTTCCTAAAAAAGAATATACATGCAAACTTCCCTTTGAATGACTTACCACCACTGTGGTAATATATGTGGTTTATCAGCTGTCAGTTTTACTGCTCCCTCCAAAATCCATTCAGATACTGTGAAGAGTGAAAAAAACAATTGCCAGTAACTGAGTAGTATGTACTGGAACTCGTAATTCAGGCTGTCCCTTCCATTGTTAACACCTAGCAAAAGCTACATAACTGAGACAAGGAAAAACTCAAGTTAAATGTGTTTCCAAATAGCTGGGTACTTGAATCTATCACATTACTCAGAAGCAAGGTATAGCTTCCCAGGAGCACCTTCTACAAAGCAGTGGTGTCATGTGAAAGGTGGGAGTTTAGATTTTGTCTGTTGGCATCCCCAGGAGAGTCAAGACCCTGGTGCCCAACAGTCTCCCAATGAGACCCTTCATCAACTGATTTACAGGATTGCAGGGTACCTCGACCTCCCTCGTTAGGGGGAGCTCAACAGAGCCAAGACCTCTCAGCGGGTCCTGCGCCTGGTGTTAGGCACTGCCAATGATTGCAAGGACTCACTGAACAGTTTACAGAATAACACTTTTTATTAATACAATTTATGACAGATTAATAAGGCTCGAGGGTTGTCAACAATAGTGTCCACTGCAAAAATATGTTTTAAAGCATTCTACTGATACATATATTAAGCAAGTACAAGCTGTAATACGAAGCAATCTACTAATATGCTATGGGGTAAGCACAAGCAAAAACTCCAGTTCTAAAAACAGCATTCAACATGCAGAGAGTATATTTCTCACCCAAGGCATCCCTCTGGGAGGGGAAAAGATGGACTCAGCCTGTCAACTGATCCTAGCAGTTCCGGTGGAGGTCTTCTCCCACTTTTCCCCTATTCCCAATTTACTTTTATTCTATTTTCTTTATGTTTGGATGAAGTTTGAGTGGCTCTAGTCATAAATATCTTTTATTTATGATTGGTACTTTTAATGGGGGGTGGTGGTGGTTGTGGTTTGGCACCTGAGGAGGGGGTTTGACATGGTTGTTGGCTTCAGCAGGAGAACAACTTGATTCTCTCTTGTCAAACAGGTACTGTATGGTCTCAGGACCACAATATTCTCCCATTCTGCTGGGATTAGAATGGAGGGGGGCACGTATCTTCACTTCATTCCACAGTCCATTCTGTTTCTCTGAGCAGATGTTTATCATTGTACTGGGGAGCATGTTGACTTCAGTCCATCCTGGGAGTTGCAGCTGCTTTTTACTTTAAAATTCTGAATTGCCTCTAGCTTTAATTCTATCCATCATCCCACAAAGGACCTACAAAAGTACATAGTTCCCTGTGGCTAACTGCCCTGCAGGTGAGATGTGAGCTACCAACTCTAGCAATGATACATCAGGATCCTGTTTCTCACAGATTCTGCCTGCCAGTTCAACTGGTCACTCTGCAGTGCTGGCTGGAACTCAGGGGAAGCACTTGTTTTCCCCTTTGTGAAGCTGGCAGGCTGGTTAGAACCCCTGTTGGCATTTCAAATATAAACATTTCACGGAAATGGAAAGAGTCTCACCTTTATGTTAAAAAAACAAAACAACCCCCCCCAAAACATTAAAAAAAGTGACATGAGCACCTTCAGTCTCAGCACTGCTGATACCTTTATAATCTAAAATTATATACATGTCAAAATGTTTATTCTTATAGAGAATTAAAGTCATCCCAATGTTTCACAATACAATATTTCTAGAATGTGGTAAAATTTGTTCGACTTCTCAAAGTCCACAGCCAGGAGGATTGGTAACATCCTGTTTAAAAAAGAAAGACTCATCTAGGTACTGTGCCTTTAAGAGAATGAATATTTGGAAATATTGGTAACATTTAAATACCTGAGAAATTTCATTGTCATATGCTTGAACCATGGTTCAACATAAATGCATGCAGATGCCTAACTGTAACACAACAGAGGTTATTATTGACATCAGTGAGGTATTATTTCTAAACTACTTCACCACACAGGTGGTGGGTGTAATTTTGAAGGCTACCGAACGCTGTGAATCTTCCAATGTTTCACAATTTTACAGAAACACCTGTGTTAAATAACTCTGCACTGATTCTGTATGAAAATGCATGGTGTTCAATAGTCCTTTGAATTAAATGCCTTGCCAACAAGCCACAGGTGTACACCACAGAAGCACATGATAAAGTAATTGTAAAGGATATGATGACAGCTCTCCATCCATAATACCACCTTCCCAAGATGCATTCATGCATCTATTTAGGTATTTTCTAACTAGCTTCAGAGTCATCTAAGCAGTCAGTATCAATCCCAAAAGTAGCACTAAGTAGGAAAAAAAAACCAAACCAAAACAAAAAACTCCCATGTAAATCACATTTAAAACTGATTGAATCCAGTCCAGGAAGCAATAAAATAAAACCATCATCCACTCATCCCCCTCAAAAAAACCCCACAAAAATACATACTAATACTTTAAATAGATAGGATAACTTTGAACTTCAATATTTTAAAATTTAGGGTCTGCAAAATGCTTCCCTTACAGAAAATGTTACTACAGAAAATGTTGACAGAATAAATACTTAAAATCTGTTGAAATCTATAGACAAATTTCATTAATCCTTTAAGATCTACAGGTTAGCTTAAAAATTCTATAGCTGTTGTACATTTCTATTGCACAAATAAATTGGCAGTGGTTTTCAAATGAATGTATTTGGGTTCTGTAGACGTTGACTGATGCTAGTCCTATTCTCTGAAATAGAAGTTTTGCGAATACTCCTAGCACCTAAAAATTTTTGGAGGAGTTACATGATGTGAAAATTCCAGAAAAATTTAGACATTTTGATCAGACACTTGTGTTTTGCTAATCTGTTTTGTCCCCACCCCACCTTGGGCAATGAGGATGGGTTTAAGGAACACAGTCACCAACTTTAAAGATTAAGTGTATAAGTTTATTATAGTGCAAACCAGTAAAGAATTACAAAAGAAGCAGTGGCTTATGAAAGGATACACTTAGTAATGCATCTAATCATTACTACAAAGTCTTATAGTGATTAAGAAAGAGCTACATCATCAGCTACCCTAAGTAATTATTATCATTCATACAGCACTTCAGCTGGGAAGGCCCCTATCACACTGAAGGACTGTAGAACCTCTTCCCGGTAACTGGGAAATCCTACGTGGTGTGTCCACCCATAGGGGAAGCCTTCATCTTTGCTGAGAGAGGGCCCAGCTTATATAGTGTTAAACCTATCAGCTTACATCACTCAATTAGTGTGGAAAAACAATCTGTCTTTATTTTTCCCCTTGGTTTTCCCCTGAGGCCTGGCCAACGCCCAGAGGGAGACCAAGGGAGTCAGTTTGGACTGACTATTATCAAACGCCCCATGGCCTTGAATAGTCTCTAGATACAGAATTACGGCTACATTGATATCTCAAATATGAACCAGCTGCAATCATGTGAGGCCTACTGTTTTCACGGCCTTGGCTGAAAAGTCATATTTATAACACATACAAACCTTACTAATTATTAATAATATGCTGTACTAACAAACATGGATGTGTATTCTTAAAGCATTACTAAGGATTATGCAGCCTCTTGGTTAATAAGCACATATATGGCTAAATGCAATACTAGGCTAAATATAATATTAGGTTGGAGGGTCTACCTATAGGTCAACTTTGGCTCAGGGCCAGTTCTTCAGGCCTCAGCATTACACTTTGTAAGAAATCTGAAGAAAAAATCTAAGCACAGCAAGTGCTCAGAACCTCCTTCTGAAATATTTCACAATTACAAAAAAAAAGTATATATTATATATGAAGGTTTTTATTAGCAAACAGAAATTAGGGGTCTTAAAATATCCTAGAGAATGATAAAGCTATTAGTAGCAATTGTCAAAGCATAGAGCTACCCATATTCACAAAAAAGTACTGCCCTTTGTTTTACTGTGTTCAGCAGAGCACATAGCCTAAAGGTTAGTCAGGAAGAATTAATTTTCTTATGATCACAATTAAAAGATCCTGCACTGCCAGAGTGGATGACTGGACGAAGCCAGGCTCTACAACTATCTATGACTCAGGAATGGATGTGAGTTTGGCTAGAACTAATAAGAGGAAGAGCAAAGTCAGATGGACTAAATCTCATCTTGCTCCTCTCTGCTTTTGGTATGACTTTTGATTTTAATCTTTTCCACAAGCTTAGGCAGTTCGTGGCTATGTGTACTTGCACAGCAGCTACATTGTACAAAACATGTTTATACGCTCGTGTGTTTTTGCTTTGTTTTAATTACAAAAATCAAGATTAGCATCATCCCAAGTAGCTACAAATTTGGGAAAAGTTCAGTCCAAGCTTCTTGTATTACAGTTGTAACTTTGCCTTCAGTCCTGTCCCTTGTGTCTGCCTATTTTTCAGTAATGATGACATTCACTCACCTTTTACCCACAGCCTAATTATTAAAATGTTGAATGGAAATTCTGTGGGGATAAGAATGAGCAAATCTGTCAGTCTCCAGTCTGCAAATATGCTAAAAGAGTAAATCATAGAATCACAGAAGAAACTTTTCCCGTCCACAATAGCCAGTCTGTCAGATTCATGTCATTTAATTACCACAAATGTGAGTCAGTAACTCCTTCCATTTACTTGTATCTAATTGTCCACTGAATTCTAGTGCAGACTCTTTCCTAAAAGTGCTGAATACCGAGTAGGGCTGAGATTTTTTCCTCACACTACTGCTCTGTTAATGTCTCCTCTTCTGCTTTTCTGTCTCTCCTACATAAAGAGCAGTTAGAGACTCAGTCCTTTTTAACTTCTTTGTGCATATATACACATACCACACACACGTCTCTCTCTCTCTGTGTCTTCTCAACAAAAGAATTCAGAGCATGTTTTAGAAAGAAACATCTACTATGTCATAATCTTTAAGGTACTATGGTTTTAGTAGCTATCAACAAGATTGATGATTGATACCAATGCTTAACAGTGGAAGACTTCAAGGGATAACACTATGAGATTAAAGCTGAAAATCCAGGGTGTCTGTTAAAATTACAATAAAAGTCACAATCTCTGATGGGCACAGTGGTGGTAGATAACACAGACTGACTGATGGATTATGCAAC